TCATCACTTCGAATCACTGCCACTAACTGCCAACTTTTTCTTTAATTTGATAGTGTTGAATTTGTTTTATTTCAGCTAAACTGCCTACAGATACACAGCACGGCTCTGTTAAGTCCCAGAGAGAAGAAGAGCTCAAGCAGAGGCGTTCCCTTTATGAATGGGGGACCGATGCAGCCTACTCCGATCTTCCTGGTTACGTAAAAGCTTCAGGTGTTAAAGAGCTACCGAGAGATGTACAGTTCACTGAAGAAGCTTCCTACGACCTGCATGCTGCAGGGAGAAATGCTTTGATAAACATGGGCCTTGTGCATCTGTTTAATATTTTTGACTCATGGGACGACTTTGATGACTACCGCAAGGTATTTTGGTTGCTGTGACTCACTCTGACGACGGCGACGGCAGCGAAAACGTCACTTTTAAAATGAATTGGCGTTTTTTAAACTTATCGCGTTTATTCCAAACTGCTGAAAATATCAAATATAGGCGAATTTCCCTAGAGTTGATTTCTTGGGAACCACACTCAAGTTTTGAAATAGAAAGAAAAATTCGTTATCGCTTGTTTACGTCCTCCATAAAACGTGAGATTAGGGATTTTCACGCCGTAGTCGTGCAGTGACGGCAAAGAAATGTACAAAAAAATGTCCTGCACGTGCAAAGTTGTTGTTTTGCTAATCAAGCCTATTGCTTTTTCGACGTTCTAGCTGCCGTCGCCGTTGTAGTTGCTAAAGCTCCCTATTGTGTCGCAGGGAGGCTGGGAAGAAAGAATAAGAAAGCGCGGGCCACGAGAGGAAGGGAAGCCTTTCCCTCTTCCCATCGTCTACCGCGCGCTTCCTATTTTTTAAATTATTGCTATTTTTATTTAAATACCCAGCAGAAGCCTCTGCGGAGGAGAGAATTGCTGTGAGACTCATGCATTTTATTCTCCTCAAGTTTACAATTCGACGTCGCCGTTGAGGATTTCCTTCCGGACCCGGAAGAGCGGTAGAAATTGCGCCTAGTAGAGAGTTAAAAGAATAAAAGAAAGAACGGAGGCTAAGCCCATATGAATTATTCGTCGGGATTTACGTTGTAATGTCTACTGATTATTAATTTGGTTGTGGCTGTTTCTGGCCCTTTTTTTAATTATTTTCTATAGTATTTCCTAGTTACGCTGATTGATGGTCATTCTAAGACAACACAAAAGAATAAAAATAACATTCATTCATCCAAAATTTTTCCATGCAACGTTTTCCTTTGCACTTTAAAAATCTTGCACAGTTAAAACATTTAACACCCTAGAGGGAAAGTTCTTTATCTGTTCCAGACCCCATGCCACGGAAAACATTAAGATTCACAAAATCAACTTTTTTCGAGGGATCCTACATATAAGATGTTGTACACAACAAACACAAATGAGATAGAGCAAGGGCAGTTACGCGATCAATATCCGGGGGTGCCAATCTATTATAATTTACTGGACCCGCTCAGAGACTTCTGGTTGAAAACGGAAATTTTTTGCTGGAAGTTATGTTATCTCCAGGTAGCCAATGAGAACCCTCACTGTAGGTAAAGAAAATTCAATGAAATTATATACAACTTACGGGTACCTTGCAAAAAGTTTCTCAACACTTTGCGTGCTTTTGTTGTTGTTATTGTTCCAGGCTGTCAATTAGACATAAAATTGACTCTTCTATTCGCTTTGTAGGCATTCACCGGTTTCATAGGTGAGGTACCCAAAGCAGCAGACCATTGGAGGGATGACCGTTTCTTTGGATATCAGTTTCTGAACGGGTGTAATCCAGATTCAATCAAACGATGCACCCAACTCCCAACAAACTTTCCCGTCACACAGCAGTTGATCGGGAACCTTTTGGACACTGGAGACACGTTGGAGAAAGCCATGAATGTGAGATATATTAAATTTATTTAGTGCTGAGGCCCTTTTCAAACAAGTAGTAGTTCGAAAAAGGTGCTTTGAAAACGTATCACATGCAGGCGTACAAACTGGGTTTTCCAGATGTATTTTGCCTTTCAACATCGGGAAGCTGTCAAAAAACATCTGGCGGCGGATAAGCTTACGTTATCTTTTCCAAGCTCTTCTCAGCCGTTAAGTCAAAATATCCCTTGGTAATCATATAGCTTCTTAAAGGCCAGTAACCCAATCCGGTAATTTTTCATGCCATCATTGTAGTGATTTTTTTATGTGATTTTAAGTGCGATTTTAGCCTACGTGTAAGTACTCCATTTACGGCGATCTCTCGAGCGAAGCACGGGAGATCGCGCGAGCGAGGGGCGGAGGAAAAGGAACTTTCTTTCTCCGCCCTCGCACTCGCGCCGCCTCCTTTCGTGTGATGTTCGCGGGTGATTTTTCTCCCAATTGGTGAGAGCTTGCCCATTGGCCAGCCCGATTTCATATCACCTGTTTAATCTAGCGGTGTTTCATGTCGCTCGATTTCATGGTAATTTCTGGCCGCTGCTGTTTCTTAGGCCATGACATTTACACGGTTTATTGGCGATGTTCTTCGTGAGAGCTACTTAAACGGTACCTGGGTGGACTCTACCCCGATAGGTTAATAACTGAAGCTGCCATGTAAAATCAAACCAGGAGTTCATAATATCGTCGCAAAATCGTAAAATATTACCAGTTTAAACCGATTTTAAGTGGTTAGTTTAATAATTTACAGGCTGGTCGGATCTACATAGTAGATTATAAAATCTTGGAGGACATCCCCCACTATGGTCAGGACCGGGAGGACCTGGAAAGGAGATACATGTGCGCAAGCTTTGGTCTGTTTTATGTGAAAGGAAGCGGGGACCTGGTGCCAATAGCAATCCAGCTACATCAGCAGCCCAGTCCAGATAATCCAATATGGACTCCGAATGACTCCGACTTGGACTGGATTTGCGCAAAGTTGTGGTTACGAAATGCGGACACTCAGTATCATTCATTCTCTCTTGTTCAAGCAAATATCTAGTGAGGTAAAAATTTCTCTTTTTCTCGCAAGGATTTAGCTCATTTCAAGGCCGTGTGAGGACAGTTCAAACGTTTTAAAATTAAATCATATTTCAAGCGCTCGAACTATTTTCTAAGCGACTGAAATTTTTCTTAGTGTTGTCAAGGCTGTTGCTAGAGGTGGCAAATTTACATGTAGCCAAAGGATCTAAAACTGCTATTGGCGCCTCATCGTTAAACATTCTGCTGTTAAAAAATAATTCTCAAGCGACCGATAGTCCATGTCAAGGTTCTTCTGTGAATTATCACCATTGTTAGAACTATGGAACGACTCAGGCGTTTTTCCCTACCTGCTAAACGAGCCCAAGGTTTGCTGTTAAACATTTATCTCAGCATTTTCTTTTACGATTTAGAGATCGGTCTCATTATTTCCAGTACCAATCAAAACTATGAAACGCTTCTACTTTTATACCAAGTGCTTTTAGCTCCCTGCTAAACGAAAAGGTTTGTTGTTAAATTTCTGATCGATCTGGCTGAGAGCTATCTTACAAATGATGTATCGTCAAATTAAGAAATAACACAAGATCTAGCAACCCTAAAGGAAGAATTTGAAAAAAAAAAAGAACAATTCAGAAGAGATTTAGAGTGAAACAGCTGCATGAGTTTTGCTCTAGTTATTTTCCAGCCGTGCAGAGAGACAGGGTATCGAGATCGCCCATGATTTGAACTCCTTGCCTTAACATGTTGACTTTCGCAATTTATATGGTAATTAGTAGCTTGTTTGTCCAAGCTCTCGCTTTTAATAATAAGCCCTTCTTGCTAGATTTATACGATGATCTTTGTAATTTTTATTTAAAAAAATCAATGGCCGCTACAAGGATTTGGCAAAATCTGTAACATTTTTGGCTTTGCCTCAATAAGTAACTGATTTGCTGAAATTCGGCTAAATGTCAGTTATATGTTGTAATATATCACTTAGTTAGGCTAACAAAGGTTTTTTTACAGTGGTTATATCCTTCCGAGTTCTTTAATTAAACAACAAGGAGTTTAATTAGCAAAGGCCGTTTTGGAGCGATGAACGTCATCCGGGAGTAAAGCCTTTTCTTTTCTATTACGCCTTCACCCTACCAATTTTATTATTCATAGTGCCTCTTCGTCGTTATAGAGACAATTTTCCCGAAAATTTGGGCAAAACTATCGTGTAGCACTGAACTAGAGATAAGAACTCTCTTCGTTTCTCCAGAGTTTACCAATTCAGTAATTGGCAGCGCCGGTTCTTCATAGCTCATTTCTCCGCGCTTTTGCTTTAAGGCTCTTCTTTGGACTTTTTTCAAGGATTCAATATCCTTTTTTTAGTAGGAGCTCCAGACTGGGGCAGCGTATTCGAGTATAGGTCTTATCAACGACTTAAAGAGGCAAGAATTCAAAACGCATACCGATTGTCGTTTCCGAGTGATCGCTTAATTACACTTAATTACTATGTAGGAGATGTCTTTACCCCAAGATAGATCATAGTTTATTGTGACCACTAGATCCTTGAAACTTTCAACAGATTTTAGTTGCACACCTAAAGAGTAACTTGGTTTAGATCTGTCCCTACTGTGCGTTGCACGCATGACTTCACATTTTTCGGGATTAAAGCGCAACTGCCACTCGTTTTTGTTAGCCCAGTCCCTATTCAGGTTAAGCTGTAAGGCTGAGATATCGTTATCAGGCTCATTGATCGTGCGATAGATTTTGGTGTCATAAGCGTAGATTTTGACTGTTAATAATATCATTTATATAAATGATAATTAAGATTGGGCCGAGTAGTATTGTTCCTTGAGGCACGCCTGAAATCACGGGTGACCAATCTGAACAATTTCCCCTTAACACGACACGCTGCCTTCTATTCGTCAAGAAATTTCTAATCCACAGTAAAAGAGAGCCATCTATCCCATGCCGTTGTAGTTTCAGCAACAAACGCTCATGTGGCGTGCTGTCGAAAGCCTTAGAGAGATCTAAGAAGATGATGTCCGTTTGCCTTAGTTGTAACTGATTGGAGTTGTTTTTTCTTTAAGGATCTAAGATGACGTCAGAATATCTGATCACTGTTGTCACAGGAAGCAGAAAGGGAGCTGGGACAGACGCCTCGGTATCTCTCGTTATCAAAGGTATTGATCCTAGTGCTATAAATTGCTTCATGTACTCTCTTAGGACGTGCGAAGGTTGGAGAGCTGTGAGAAGTGGCTTTGGTGAAAAACTTAAGCATTTCTTGGTCTGACAAAGTCTGTAACGAAGACGTATTGAGGCGTAATGGTGAGGAGAGGGCCATCATATCTGTTATCAACAGAAGACAGAGTCTGGCTTGGTCAATGGTCATACCCTACGACAAGTTTATCTTGTCTCATTAGTTATTGAGGGAAGAGTAATAGGAAGGAGACCATACACCTGGAAGACCTCGAGCGGGAATGCTGGATAGAGTGAAGGATGACAGCCCTTACGTAGCGGTCAAGGGGTGTGCCCTAGATCGAGAACTATAGGGAAGGACCTGTCTGTGGGCAAAACACACACACACACGCTGTTAGAACCGGCACCATTCCCTGGTCCTGAGGCGGCTAGTGGAGTATGAGTCGATTCGGGTCGTTCGAGACGAATCCGAACAAATATGTACGATTGTCTTCATATCAAAATGACATATTTGTTGTGTGTTGGTGAAATGTCAAACGCAATACAGTCTACGTAAAACAGGTTTCTGCTTTCTTTTCAGTGAAGTTTTTTCGTCTATTGTCAACCATTTTTCTGTGCCCGACTTGTCAAGGGCTAAACAGAAGAAATGTCGTAACCAAGTTGTGCCTATTTCTATAAGGTACCAATGGTGAAACTGATGCTTTAAGCCTTGACAAATGGTTTCACAATGACTTTGAAGCTGGACAAAAAGATGAGTATCAAATTACTGCCAAAGACGTTGGCGAACTTCTGTTGGTGACACTGAAGAATAACCAAGGTGGCCTTTACAGTGATTGGTTTGTAAACCGCGTTACGATCAAAATCAAAGGCAAGGACACCGTCTATGATTTTCCATGCAACCGCTGGGTGCAAAGCGAGACCATCATCTTCGAAGGAGCAGGTAACGTGAACTAAGGGCTCTTTCCAAAAGTCAGAAGAAGGCGGCCGAACCGATCCGTTCGAAAATGAATAGGCTTTTTTAAAAAGTTTTCGGTTACAAACCATCGACCCCATGCAGATTATTTTGCTGATTTTACTGATCGGGCTGGACAATTTTCATTAAAAGTGAAATTCTCTTTACGACGGGGAATAGTCTGGCCGCTGCCAGTTCTGAACAAATGGAAAGCGCTCTAAGCAGTCCAAGTTAGAGAAAAGAAAGAAAAATAGGCTATTGTGGACACAGTACAACTAATATCTGCTTTTCCGTATTTTTTGATATTGTTTCTTGAGCATGAAAATAATTTTTTCAGTGATGTAAACTTGTCACGTTTGAAGACTTTGAACTTTGCAGAAACAACGTTCAGCTTATTTATTTCAAAGAATAAACATGATTATATCCTGCCCCATCTTTGTTGAAGGAATTTATATTGGCCGTTTGGCATGGATTTTAGATGCAGAGTGAAAAACAAAATAGGGCATCAAAGTGTCATCCCCGCTTGCAGATCCAATATCATCTTTTCGAATCACTGCCACTAACTGCCAACTTTTTCTTTAATTTGATGGTGTTGAATTTGTTTTATTTCAGCTAAACTGCCTACAGATAAACAGCACGGCTCTGTTAAGTCCCAGAGAGAAGAAGAGCTCAAGCAGAGGCGTTCCCTTTATGAATGGGGGACCGATGCAGCCTACTCCGATCTTCCTGGTTTCGTAAAAGCTTCAGGTGTTAAAAAGCTACCGAGAGATGTACAGTTCACTGAAGAAGCTTCCTACGACCTGCATGCTGCACGGAGAAATGCTTTGATAAACATGGGCCTTGTGCATCTGTTTAATATTTTTGACTCGTGGGACGACTTTGATGACTACCGCAAGGTATTTTGGTTGCTGTGACTCACTCTGACGACGGCGACGGCAGCGAGAACGTCACTTTTAAAAGAATTGGCGTTTTTTCAACTTTATCGCGTTTATTCCAAACTGCTGAAAATATCAAATATAGGCGAATTTCCCTAGAGTTGATTTCTTGGGGACCACACTCAAGTTTTGAAAGAGAAAGAAAAATTCGTTATCGCTTGTTTACGTCCTCCATAAAACGTGAGATTAGGGATTTTCACGCCGTAGTCGTGCAGTGACGCCAAAGAAATGTACAAAAAAGTGTCCTGCACGTGCAAAGTAGTTGTTTTGCTAATCAAGCCTATTGCTTTTTCGACGTTCTAGCTGCCGTCGCCGTTGTAGTTGCTAAAGCTCCCTATTGTGTCGCAGGGAGTCTGGGAAGAAAGAATAAGAAAGCGCGGGGCACGAGGGGAAGGGAAGCCTTTCCCTCTTCCCATCGTCCACCGCGCAGTTCCTATTTTTCAATTATTGCTATTTTTATTGAAATACCCAGCAGAAGCCTCTGCGGAGGAGAGAATTGCTGTGAGACTCGTGCATTTTATTCCCCTCAAGTTTACAATTCGACGTCGCCGTCGAGGATTTCCTTCCGGACCCGGAAGAGCGGTAGAAATTGCGCCTAGCAGAGAGTTAAAAGAATAAAAGAAAGAACGGAGACTAAGCCCATATGAATTATTTGTCGGGTTTTACGTTGTAATGTCTACTGATTATTTTTAATTTGGTTGTTGTGGCTGTTTCTGGCCCTTTTTTTTATTATTTTCTATAGTACTTCCTAGTTACGCTGATTGATAGTCATTCTAAAACAACACAAAATAATAAAAATAACACTTATTCATCCGAAATTTTTCCATGCAACGTTTTCCTTTGCACTTTAAAAATCTTGCACAACTAAAACATTTAACACCCTAGAGGAAAAGTTCTTTATCTGTTCCATACCCCAAGGAAAACATTAAGATTCACAAAATCAACTTTTTTCGAGGGATCCTACATATAAGGTGTTGTGCACAACAAACACAAATGAGATAGAGCAAGGGCAGTTACGCGATCAATATCCAAGGGTGCCAATGCATTATAATTTACTGGACCCGCTCAGAGACTTCTGGCGGAAAACGGAAAATTTTTGCTGGAAGTTATCTCCAAGTAGCCAATGAGAGCCCTCACTGTGGGTAAAGAAAATCCAGTGAAATTATATATAACTTACGGGTACCTTGCAAAAAGTTTCACAAAACTTTGCTTGCTTTTGTTGTTGTTGTTGTTCCAGGCTCTCAATTAGACGGAATAACGGAATGAAAAGCGAACGCGAGAGAAAAAAAATGGATTACATGTTTAAACATTTGACTCTTCTATTCGCTTTGTAGGCATTCACCGGTTTCATAGGTGAGGTACCCAAAGCAGCAGACCATTGGAAGGATGACCGTTTCTTTGGATCTCAGTTTCTGAACGGGTGTAATCCAGACTCAATCAAACGATGCACCCAACTCCCAACAAACTTTCCCGTCACACAGCAGTTGATCGGGAACCTTTTGGACACTGGAGACACGTTGGAGAAAGCCATGAATGTGAGATATATTAAATTTATTTAGTGCTGNATGCAACGTTTTCCTTTGCACTTTAAAAATCTTGCACAACTAAAACATTTAACACCCTAGAGGAAAAGTTCTTTATCTGTTCCATACCCCAAGGAAAACATTAAGATTCACAAAATCAACTTTTTTCGAGGGATCCTACATATAAGGTGTTGTGCACAACAAACACAAATGAGATAGAGCAAGGGCAGTTACGCGATCAATATCCAAGGGTGCCAATGCATTATAATTTACTGGACCCGCTCAGAGACTTCTGGCGGAAAACGGAAAATTTTTGCTGGAAGTTATCTCCAAGTAGCCAATGAGAGCCCTCACTGTGGGTAAAGAAAATCCAGTGAAATTATATATAACTTACGGGTACCTTGCAAAAAGTTTCACAAAACTTTGCTTGCTTTTGTTGTTGTTGTTGTTCCAGGCTCTCAATTAGACGGAATAACGGAATGAAAAGCGAACGCGAGAGAAAAAAAATGGATTACATGTTTAAACATTTGACTCTTCTATTCGCTTTGTAGGCATTCACCGGTTTCATAGGTGAGGTACCCAAAGCAGCAGACCATTGGAAGGATGACCGTTTCTTTGGATCTCAGTTTCTGAACGGGTGTAATCCAGACTCAATCAAACGATGCACCCAACTCCCAACAAACTTTCCCGTCACACAGCAGTTGATCGGGAACCTTTTGGACACTGGAGACACGTTGGAGAAAGCCATGAATGTGAGATATATTAAATTTATTTAGTGCTGAGGCCCTTTTCACACAAGTATTAGTTCGAAAAAGGTGGTTTAAAAACGTATCAAATGCAGGCGTACAAACCAGGTTTTCCAGATTTATTTTGCCTTTCCACATTGGGAAGCTGTCAAAAAACATCTGGCGCCGGATAAGCTTACGTTTTCTTTTCCAAGCTCTTCTCAGCCGTTAAGTCAAAATATCCCTTGGTAATCATATAGCGTCTCAAAGGCCAGTAACCCAATCCGGCAATTTTTCATGCCATCATTGTAGTGATTTTTTATGTGATTTCAAGTCCGATTTTAGCCCACGTGTAAGTACTCCATTTATGGCGATCTCCCGAGCGAAGCACGGGAGACCGTGCGAGCGAGGGGCACCCCTCGCACTCGTGCCGCCTCCTTTCGTGTGATGTTCGCGGGTGATTTCTCGCAGCTTCCCAATTGGTGAGAGCTTGCCCATTGGCCAGCCCGATTAGCCTGCGTGTAAGTACTCCATTTATGGCGATCTCCCGAGCGAAGCACGGGAGATCGCACGAGCGAGGGGCGGAGGAAAAGGAACTTTCTTTCTCCGCCTCTAGCACTCGCGCCTCCTTTCGTGTGATACTCGCGGTTGATTTCTCGCAGCTTCCCAATTGGTGAGAGTTTGCCCATTGGCCAGCCCGATTTCATATCACTTGTTTAATCTAGCGGTGTTTCATGGCGCTAGATTTCATGGTAATTTCTGGCCGCTAAAACACTGCTGTTTCTTAGGCCTGCATGACATTTACACGGTTTATTGGCGATGTTCTTCGTGAGAGCTACTTAAACGGTACCTGGGTGGACTCTACCCCGACAGGTTAATAACTGAAGCTGCCATGTAAAATCAAACCAGGAGTTCATAATATCGCCGCAAAATCGTAAAGTATTACCAGTTTAAACCGATTTTAAGTGGTTAGTTTAATAATTTACAGGCTGGTCGGGTCTACATAGTAGATTATGAAATCTTGGAGGACATCCCCCACTATGGTCAGGACCGGGAGGACCTGGAAAGGAGATACATGTGCGCAAGCTTTGGTCTGTTTTATGTGAAAGGAAGCGGGAACCTGGTGCCAATAGCAATCCAGCTACATCAGCAGCCCAGTCCAGATAATCCAATATGGACTCCGAATGACTCCGACTTGGACTGGATTTGCGCAAAGTTGTGGTTACGAAATGCGGACACTCAGTATCATCAGGTAACTATCCACATATTTCCATTCAATGGAGATCTTAAGATTCTAAGTCAAGGACGAATACCAGGACGAGATTTTTACAATACCAAGTAGTGCGCGCACATGAAACAGCGTCATTCGGCGGGAAAACGTGATAGCAGTCGTCACTCTTCAACGGGTTTTAGCGAGAATGTCGTAGCAGCGGAAACAATGAATCTTTCCAGGGTGTAAAATTTTTGAGAATACGCGAAAAACTTTAAAGTTAAATCTCGCTCTCGTATTCTTCCTCGTCATCGAATAGAAAGGTCCCTAAGCATTTTAAGGATGCGCGCAGCCTTCCAACGAAAGTTCTGGACCAACTGTGGAAAGTAGATGATACTATCACGCTTTACAAAAAAAAACCTTGCTTTTTAATTTGTGCTTTGCGTTTTTTTTTTTTTAAGATAGCATCAGTCAAAGGAACCAATTTAGATTCCTTTTCAACATATTTTTTTTCTTTTTAAAAATCCCTTTCAGATGATTACTCATCTTCTTCGAACTCATCTCTTTATGGAACCGATCGCGGTTGCCAGCTACCGACAACTGCCTACCATCCACCCCCTGTGGAAACTGCTGTCACCACACATCCGAGGGGTTCTCGCCATCAACACTCTGGGGCGAGATCGCCTGATTGCCGAGGGAGGGGTGGCCGATCTCACCCTTACGGTGGGTGGTGGAGGTATGTAAAGCACTCACTACTATTAACCACATACAACATTGATTCAAATCAAGAAATAAATGCAGAAACTAAATCGAAGTATACATTTTGTTTTTTTATCTACTGAGGCCAAACGAAGCGTGAACTTAAAATTTAGTGCCCCTAGAGGGTGGGCGTTTAAAATGACAAAACATGGGTACTTACCAATTACGCGGGAAAACCGGAAATTCCGGGTGAAAAATAAAATGGTTCGCGCCATTTCGTTTGGGAAGCTTCAGAAAATATGGGCTGTAATTTAAGGGGATAAATTTTTTCTATTTGTTTTCGCTAGTCTCTTCAGCTGATCTGAATATATTATGTACCAGGTCGCTCTCCCACCATGTCAAATTTTATAGTTTCATGTTTATGCAAAAGATCTCCACCCGGAAGGTTTGGGTAAATTGCAATTGTAAGCACGCATATTACTTGCAGAGAAAAACACGAAATTCTTTCGCTTAGACTCATCATAACAATTGCTGTATACTTCGTAATAAAATAGAGTTCGTCTTTGTTTTTGGACAGGACATATTACGCTAATGAAAAAGTACTACAAGGCCCACAGCAATTGGAAGACCTATGACATTCCCCAAGTTTTGAAGGAAAGAGGAGTCGATGAGGTAGATAAACTGCCCAACTTTCATTACCGTGAAGATGCTTTAAAACTATGGGCAGCAATCAAAGAATTCGTCAAGGAGATCATATCCGTTTATTATAGTTCTGATGATGCCATAAAGAAGGTAAGATGGTATATTATTAAGGAAAAATGAAACTAGACAACCATATTCAAAGAAAAATATATTTAAAAAAAATAAAAAACTGACGGCTTGCTTTGATCAAAAATTGTGTATCAAGAAGAGGTGCAATTAGCTGTCCGGACATTAAAAAGTACGGCAGACTCCCGCAAGAAAAAAGCCAAAATACCGTAAAATTCCAAAAATAAGCACATCCATGTAACAGGTAACGCAAAAAAGCCCTACGTTAAATCGCCCCTCCAATATATATAAGCCCCTCGGGGCGTGTACTTGGAAAATTTCCCTCAGATACAAAGTAAAACAAAGCAAAAACGATAAATTTCCTTCCAAATATAAGGCTAGCCTAATCGATTTTGAAACGCAAATTTCCCTCCGTAGATAAGCCCCTCCGAATATAAGCCCCTCAAAAAGGGCCTTTGAAAAATGTAAGCCCTGGGGCTTATTTTCGGAATTTTACGGTATTCCAGTTTAATTGGTTTCCTGAATGTTCTTAACCGTAGTGCCCCGCTTTTGTATTTGTGATTATTGTTATAATTACTGTGAAAGATGATTTTGCCACATGTAGTGTAATGCAATGCAAGGCAGTCTTGGATCCTGGATTCTATGCTGTGGATTCCGAATTCCATGTACTGGAACTGGGATTCCGGATTTCAATAGTACATAGGATTCCGGATTCCTTGAGCTGGGTCGCGGATTCCAAAGCCCGGGATTCCGGATTTCACTATCAAAAATTTACTGGATTCTGGAATCCGATTTGCCTTACATGGGGCAAATGATTTATTATCAAAACAGGATTATGAGTTGCAGAACTGGATAAAAGATTTGCACGATAACGGATATCCGGTCACCAAAGGGCACGCTGACCATGGCGTGCCCAAGTCCTTCACTAGCTGCCAACAGTTGTGCGAATTTCTGGAATGCATTATCTTCACCTGTGCCTGCCAGCACGCAGCGGTTAATTTTTCACAGTTGGATGTGTACGGTTTCCCGCCAAATTCCCCAGCTCTTATGCGCCAGCCACCACCCACAAAGAAGGGCGTGGTCACAATGGAGCACATGATGAAATGCCTGGCTACTAAGCACCAAGTGTCGATGACTATCGCTACAGTGTACGATTTGACTCGTATTTATCAGGATGAGGTAAGCTTTACTGTAGTGTTCTACGTTGCAGCATTGAAAACGCCTGTACAATCAAATTCAAAATGACCAGCATCGCAATAGCAAGGCAAATTGTTAATGGCTTCCTGTAGAACAAAATAATTTTCTTTTACCCTTTTATTGGTGAGCTTGCGCAGCAGGATAGCAGAGAGAAGAGGACGGCAAAACTTTCTCGTGTGACAAACGTGACAGGCCTATTACTTGCGTGTTTTGTAGTGATCTTCATTTGACATTAATATGTTGTGGTCTGTTACAAAAGAGATCTGTTTAAAGAAAGGTTAGTCAGCCGGAAAAACGTTTTCGAACAAAATGTTTGTCACGCTTTTCACACAAGGTTTGTCGTCTTGATACGTTTTGATTCTCTGTTGTCCTGTTGGGCAAGTTAACTATTGTGCCTCAAGACAATATTACAGAGCTTAAGAGATATTGCAAACTTGTTGCCAAGTATTAATTTCCCGCATAATTATAGGGAGCATATTGCAGGCGGCCTGTGCTTAATATTTATTTCAGTTTCATCACATTGGATAGTTGGTTAGTTATTTACTAAAATGCCTTTTACAAATGTTGTTTTCAGAGTCTGAATGCTACTTACGAAACATTTATTTCCTCCACAGAGATTCATTGGCGACTATCGTGAAGACCTGTTTATCGACCCTCCTGCCAAATCTGCCATTTCTAGCTTTCAGAAGAAGTTGAAGCAAATCTCCGCAGAGATAAAAGAGCGGAATGCAAATCTTGAGATCCCATACCCATATCTGCTGCCCGAGCGCATTCCTAACAGCATTGCCATCTAACGATCCAAAGTTGCTTAAAACAGATATCAGTAGAGTGCCTGTCAATTTCTAGCCTACCTTCTTTGAAAACCATCTTTAGTTGTCCTGACAGCCTAATGTAGCCGGTCAATTGGCCGCACGTGATTCGACTGTGCCGATGTTAACATGAATTGTACTATAACAATAGGACTGTTTTGACGGACAAATTTTGAGCCGGTTTGCCCAACCTCATAATAGCCAATAGAGACCTTTAGATTCTGAGCCGATGACGACATTTTTTCAGTACTAAGAAGTGCGCGCGCGTGAACCAGCGTCATTTTGGCGGGAACCGCAATAGCCGTCGTCAGTGTACTACGGGTTTTAGCAAAAATGGCGTAGTGGCGGAGTCAAGTTATCAAATGTTGGAAGTTTTGTCATTTTTCGATCGGGAGAGGAATTACCCTGCTTCAATAAAATAATCTGTGTTAACTCTTGCGGCGAAAAAGAGTGCAATGAAGCTATCCGGAATGTTTTTTTGTTTGTTTGTTTGTTTTTTTTTAGAATACGCGAAAAAACTGTAAGGCAAATCTCGTCCTTGAATCCTCGAAAATAAAAAGGTCTCTAATAACAATCCCATGGAGCAATTTGACACCGCATCGATCCAGTCCCACTCGGCTCACGCAATTTCAAAACGGCTAAAGAGGCGTAAGAGATTTGAGGTTTGGATAACAATTAAGGAGTGTTGCTAATTATTTCTCTTCACTTCAGCTTCTCTGTGATAAAAGATGTCTTTTCTTAAACGAATCTGCAAGCTATCTGTTATGGCATTCAATGTTGAGGATTAAAGGATTAAAGTAATAAATTTAACATGCCTTGGTTGTCCTTGCTCCCAAGCTTTACAAATTACAGGGAACGCCCTCAAGGTCTCAACGAAGACAAAACTGTATCAAATATACCGAAATTATTTACCACAAAAGAGTTTGTAGGAGTCAAGGTTCAAGTATGGCTCACAGGCATTTTATGGTTTTTATGCCCAATATCGAATACCTTTTCCGTAACACTTAACTTTTGCTAAAAAAAAAAACCCTTGCCTTTGTAACAAAATTATTACAAGTATTAGCTAAAGTTAGGAAGTGCAGGCGAGAACAATAAAAGGTCAAAATGTTCTTGCTCCAACGCTGTGTTTTTACGTAAGTTTCACGTAAAAGACTGGATCCAAATGCACGTGATCAGATTGCTTTCTATGCATCCATTTATTCTTAGTGGGAGTCCAAACAAGTTCTTGGGTTGCACGTGACGTCACCAAAAATCAAACTAAGAAACTATCGATTCTTCTGAGTTTCTACTTTCACGAGGTATTACAGTACCTAAACACCTTTACATAAACAATTTTTGGTTCGAAAGGGTTCTTCGTTTTGCGAGAGAGGACGCTTGAATTTCAAGGCTTTTGCGTGACTCTGCATTTAGCAGCCGGGAAAGCTCTTATGTGGGTTTAAAACATTACCGATTTTGAGAGATTTTGCAATCTAAACATTCCTTGTCTCAGAATAAATATTACTGTAATTTTTATGCCTTTTCTAGCGAAGAATTCACGCATTAGTAGGAAAACTCGAAAACAGATGTTTCTGTTGGTATCCGGCGGCCATATTGGTGTTCCTGAAAGGGACACCAACATGCATGGCGTTTCAATACAAAGCTTTATAAATGTAGGTAAACCGTTTTTGCCAATATCTCGCATTTGAAATATTTCACAGACCTGATTCTTGGCAAGGGTTTTTGTATATTTATCTTTTTTCATTTCCCAGATTCTAGTCGTTCTGTATTAAATGGTTTGCATTTTTATTTTTCATGGCGTGACAGTGCAAGCCGAGAATACTCTTTTTTGTCTTTTGACTTTGAATAACCATTTGAACTTTTCCAAAGGGGTTAACCCATAATTTTGGACAAAAAATTGGAAATTTCTTCAAAGACTATTTTGGTTTTTGGTTAAAATAGCATAAAAGCATTTTTGTCTGATTTTCTAGAAAGAAAAGAAGGGTTTTAGGACGATAAGACTTTATTTTTGAAAGAGACGCAAAATTTTAATTTTTCCAAAGGGGTCAAATTTTTTCAAAGGTATATTTTTGGATCAGATAGCCCGGAAAAAACTATATGTTGATTCTAAACAGAAAACAAAGCTGTTAAGGTAATAAAAAAAAGAAATGAAGACTTTTTAGGTGATCAAAATGTATTTTTGACAAAGGCTGAAAAATCAATATTATTTCAAAGGGATTTTTGACAAGTGGTACTTTCTTCAAAGTTTCTTTTACGTTCAAAGCGGCCTAAAAATTGTACTTCGGTTACTGTAGCCCGGATATATTATTTCTTGATATTCTGGACAGAAAAGAAAGCTTTTAAGGCAATAAAAATGCATTTTTGAGAAAGACTTAAAATTGCAATTTTTCTAAAGGGGTTAACTGAGTATGGTTTTTGTCAAAAATTGCAAATTTCTTCAAAGTTTGATTTTGATTAAAGTAGCATACAACTACTTTTTGTCGATATTCTGGATAGAAAAGAAGGGTTCTAAGGCGATAAAAACGTATTTTTGGAAAAGACTAAAAATTGGATTTTTTCCAAAGGGATAAACCTATGATTTTTTTGAAAAATTGAACATTTCTTCAAAGTTTCTTTTTTTAATCAAAAAGAAGACTTTTTAGGCAATTAAAATGTATTTTTGAAATAGACCAAAAATTGGACTTTTTCCAAGAGGGTGAATCCATGATTTTGGGTCAAAAATTAGAAATTTCATCGAAGTTTGATTTTGGATAAAACAGCTTACAAGTATTTTTTGTTGATATTCTGGGTAGAATAGAAGGGTTTTAACGCGTAGAAAAGACTCAAAAGGGGTTAACCCATGGTTTTAGTCAAAAATTACAAATTACACAATAGTTAGATAAGTTGCGAATTCGTGATTTTCTGTCTAGAGCCAACTCTACACAAATCCCTAACCATGAAACAACCAAGAAAAAATGCAACATAAACAAACAACACAATAAAGAAGCAAAGACACGGGAAGATGAGAGAAATTACTCAATATTTGCTAACCCGGTTTTCATAAATGCAGGTAGAGTTATAATTATTACTATTATCACTATTATTACTATTTTACATTTCAGTGTTTAACGACTGTGATCGTTTACCCTCTTGCCTCCGGCTAAAACGCGTTTTTCTTCCAAGCCGATTTTTGTTGACCCAAAAATGAGTACCCTAATTATTTTTCCGTCAATGTTATATTTCGGTTTCCTTTTAAGGGAAGAGGAAAGGTTAAATTCCAGTGCACAACCTTGCTTGTGTCGTCTGCCTAATATTCGCCTAACATTTGAACGACAGTCCTCAGTAAACTAATCTTGGAATTATCGTAAAAAGAACACGCACGGTATTAACAATAGACCCAATTTTATTCAATATTATTACCTTCTGTACAAGTAATTATAACAAAATAGCTTTGCTATATATAGGGTCTCCATGTGGGTTAGTTTTGACAGCTATTAGTAACAAACTCCAATTAACTGGATAGTCAGTTGCTTGTTGGAGCATTTAACAAGAAATATTTAACAATTAACGAAAGAAAAACTCCCTAGACGATTTTGAATTAACGTCTATCTCGTTGTCTGGGGGTGTGTCCTTGTTTGTATGCTTTATCCTTTTGGTTAAAGCAAGTCCAATTTTGTTTGCATGCTTCAAACAATCTATAAATTCATAAATCCTCTACGATGGCTTGTACAACAGGGATCGTCTTTGCTCCATGGCCCGGTTGTCCAAAGCAGTATTTGAGATAACCCAGGATTAACGTGAAATTTTACCTCAAAACTGAACGCTAACAAAGCAAATTCCTTTTAATTCTTTTTGAATGACTTAATTTTCCGAAGGCCCCAGGACTAGAAAAAACTACTAGAGCGGACTTTATCCAAGCCCGGGGACCTCGTTAATATCAGCACTTTACGCTGAGAAGGTTTCCCTGGCTGAAGAACATTTATTACTATTATTACTATTATAATCATAACTATAACAAAATTCTAAAATCTGATTGGCTATCAACTGCCCTGATTTCAGCCTTAATAGGACAGTTCAATAGGACAGTACGCGTCATGCCTAAGTATAAATTGGACAGTACGCGCAATACGCGCGCGCTTAAATGGCTATTTTCCACTGCTGGCAAAAAAAAAAATGGTCTTGGAATTTCTTGTGTTTTGGTTTAAAAAAAGAGCCTTATATATCACAAATTTTGTTAAAGTTATGATTAACTGGTAACAGAACTTCGTGTCGTCCAATTCGGTCTGTAATCATACTCGTGATTAAACAAATCGGACTCCCGCGTTAATCACTCTATGATTACAGACCGAATTAGACTCCACTCAGTCCTGTTACCATTACTTATCGTTATTATTATTATTATCACTACCATTATTAATATTATTATTACTTTACTATTATTATATTTTATCAATTTAAAATAATTAAATGAACTATATCGAACAACAGGTAGAAGGACTGCCTGAAAGTTCTAAATAAAAGATTTGAGATCGCTTCACAACAAATGACAACTGCTTCTGTTTACACCCGCTATTCGTTTGACATTTGCCGTTCAGAGGCCAAGGAATGGCACCATAGACACCCCCTAATATTTCTCTGTCAAGTATTTCATCTCCTTCACATTGCGCTTTTTAAGCAAATACATCTCTATAAAACCAAAAAACATAAATATCTTGAAGCCATATCTAGCGCCACACTGGAGGAGCTTGCTTTTTACACCTTGAGCAATTGAAGGAGGCAAAGTTCCATATTAAAAGCCTCAACAATTTACGTTTCCTAATCGACCTAAGAACCTCTGAGAAACCATAACTTCCATAACATTTTAAAAATGAACTTTTCTTTTTTCTTTATAACTTATCAAGCTCTGCTTTCAAACAATCGATGGCTTTGCGCATGCGTGTTTCCTCTTCCTCGTCTGCGCACTGTGTCAACCATTCCGCGCATTGCGTCAATATCTCCTCCCTCTGAAG